AAAAATAGATTTTGAGATAATCTTAAGAACATTTTACATCAAAATTATCTACCATGAAAAAATTTGAAGGTGCACCTTACCTCTACAGCTACGGATGCATCCGTATGCCAACTGCACCCATTGTTAAAACTTCAACATAAATGTAAGGAAAATTGCGAAATAAAAAATAACAGAAGAAAGTTGGAAGGCAGTGACAATAGAAAAAAGCAAAAAATATTTTTATAAAATTTATATGTAGTATATCCATCCCATGTCCTGCATATACAAAACCCAACCAAAAAAAAGAGGATGAAACATGGGAAAAAAAAAGTAAAGATTGGAAAAATATTGGAGGAGAAAAGGGAAAAATGAGAACCCATAAAACTAAAAGGGAAAAGATAACATAAAAAAGAAAGAAACTCAAACCTAATCAACAAAACTAAAACTAAAGAAGGGTTATAGACCACAAGTAAAAGTGGAAATATGAAGGTAAAACGTTTTGGTCGGGTTGGCAAATGGCTGCACCTTACAATATGAGTACTTATAGGAGTTTAAGAAGGTCAAAAATTGTATCTGTGGTCGATGTTAAGGGGGGAACCTTTATAAAAGAAAATAACTAACAAAAGAAGGGAATGTTTACAAAGAAAAGGGGGAAAAAAAGCAAAAAGGATAACCTGGTACTTATAGTTTGAGGAAGAGTCCACTTGGAGGGACATGTGTCCCCCAAGGGAACAGATTTGAAAGGTAGAATAAATAGAGAGCCAAGAAGAAAACTTTTATTTGAGGAGAGTGAAACTATGAAAAGAACCAACAAGACAAAGTTCGAAGAGTGAAGATATGATAGATACAATAAATAGAGAGCCAACAAGACAATTTTGTTTGAGGAGAGTGGAACTCTGAACACAACCAACAAGACAACAACTTTTCAAGAGAGTGAAACGATGAATTATGTGTTGAAAGAAAATAAAGTTACACTAGCATTGCACACACTATTGTCTTCATTAAAGGCAAACAGAAGTAATAAAACTCGTAATTCTTCTAGTTCCTACTCTAATAAATCAATGCCACCACAAAAATTACCTTCAATGATTCTCCAGAGGATAATAGAACTCCTAGCTAGAATTTATTATCACGAAGATGGTACACTTTACTGTGGTTATTCCCAAGGGCATTGCAAATTTGTTTGCGAACATCTTTCATTTATAATTGAGTTTGACTATGTAATTATATGTGGGTCTTATTGAGCTATTAAATTGCCACCAATGAAAATATAAGAAATTAACTAATCCTTCCTTCAAAGCAACGCATTTATAAGCAAACTTATAATAGTAACACTTGACGATCAACACCTCTCAGATGCCAGCTCATTTAAAACTTGCACTTGCTGATTCTGTGGATATCAGGAGCAATTTCTTAGAAATTCAAAATTAGGCGGCATCTTCTTATGTTTCCTTGTTTCCATATTAGAAGAATGTTTCTTAGATATTCCACATCTAGGGGCAATTTCTTAGCAATTGCCTCTAATATTGTCAAATTAGGAAGCATTTCTTAGAAATTAAAGACCCAATGGCAAACTCCTATATTTTATAGTCCGTAAATGTACTAGAAAAAGTAAATGTGCTGGCAAATAGTTCAATTATTGTGAATGTAACTGGGATCATATGGGCCTTTGTGAACTTTGCCACCTAAAAGACCTCTCTATTATCTTTGTACTCCATTATTTCCTTTTATTACAAATTTATAATAATGTCACTAATAAAAAGATCAACTCTATCATCGAACCATGTTTTCTCTCTTTAAAACTGTACAAAACCCACTTTCTCTTCCCCCCACTTTCTCCAACAAACCTCAATAAAAGAAGGCCCGGCAATTCCACAATGCACTCAAAAGAGGGGGGGCATGCAGCCATTTATTTACATCTGTAAACCCCATTTCAAATAGGTATCTACAGGTCCTTCAGATCCATGGCATTATTGTGACTTTCAAATAGCTACTTGAAGTAACAATCAGAGCAAGAAAAAAAATATACACGCTTCAGCCAAATACTACACAAACTGACACCATATAGGTACACTGAAAGAGCCTCTTAGTAAGACCTTAGATACCACAGTTTATCAAGTTACTTTTACATTTTACTCATTAGTCAATACTTTGTATGTATTGATGCATAGCTTTATCAAGTTCCACTTTTCCAGATATTTTGTTTCTTTCATGATTGTTAATTTTTTACCTTCTCTAGCTCTTTTAGAATCTAACATTATCAATCTGTGCATGAAACTTTAATAAGGATAAGCCATGAGTCACAATACCACCATGACGTGGTGATATCTCAACAAGTAACCACCAAATAATGGACTAAATAACATGATACAAGTTTCAATATGCATATCATCTTCAAAGATGCTCATATTGTATTCATGAAACCCAAATACTTAAAATAACACTTGCACATTTACAAAATTAAAAAGCCAAGGAAATTCTCACCTGCTGACGGGCAGTTGCAAGCTTCAACAATTCATCAGCCTCCGAAAAATTATTGAACCACTGGCTCAGTGGATGATCCTTGGTATCACCTCTTTTCCTGTCATTCGTGTTTTCAAGGGACCCTAAATAAAACAAAAGACAAAAGAAGAATACATGATCCATGGCCATGCTAATAAAATTCACCACATACCGAGAATAAAATTGTCTAAAAGGACAAGGTGAAGGTTTAAAAAGATATGGATGGAAATAGTGAGAATAGATATGGTGACTTATGGTCTGATTGAGGGTATAAACTATGATAGAGTAAAATGGCAAAAAGGATTCGTATAGCCAACCCCAAACAGTTGGAATAAGGCTCAGATGATGATGATGCCAAGAACAAAGATGCAAAAACATGACACTAACCAGCCGGCATTGAGCTTAAACCTACAGGAAGCCTGGATAGAGTGGCAGCAGGATGATTCTGGGCTCGAGCGAAAAAAGCTTCTGAAGGCTCTGAGAAAACGATTTCATCATATGACTCCACAACAACAGGTTTTTTTGTTGATTGTGGGCCAGACTCATCTTCCGGATACAGTTTCAAATGGTGAAACCTGTATGTATACTACACATTGTGATTCAAATTGATTTTGATAAATCTCAAAATGAAATTGTATAGACTTAATATAGCCAACAATACACACCAATCAACATAACAACACACACCAATTAAAATAACAAAATCGCATAAGCAAGGTTGTAATGTGTACTTACAAGTCCAATGGTTTGTCTGAAACATCACTCTGAAAGTGAACACTGATTGCTATCTCAAATTCTCCCCATCCTGATTCAGATAACTCAAAGGGTGGTGACTCAACAGATCTAATTGGATTATTAAAACTTGGATGCAATTGGAAAACAACACGTTTGATTGCCACACTCAGATCCTCATTTGTGGCCCCACGGATGTAGACTGTCCATTTATGTGAATTATACCTGAGACAACGAAATTGGTGATTCTCATTCACGGGAAGTATATGGATGCAACCTTCTACAACCATCACATGAAACAATGCTACATGTTATCACCAACAAAAACTCATGTTTTGTACCACACCTAAGCATGCAAATTTAGCAATATTGAAGTACACTAACTTACTCATTTGCTTTCTTCCCGAGCCAGAAAGATATAGTCCCATAGACTATTGGGATGCTGATTTCGACATCTTTGAGTCTTTTTGCTAGACTCTATAGAATGCACAAAAAACAATATAGTAAGAGTCAAAACAGTGTAAGTAAACTTTGAAAACAGCACATGCAGTTAAAAAATACATAACTTCATATTGATATCGGGTTAATAGCTTATATTTATAAAACAGCTAAATCAACAAGTACCCAAACTAGATTAAAGAAATACAATACACTAGTTTATCTATGCAAGCACTAATGTACAAGGGTTCTACAACAACATGAGAACTAAGCTATTTGTGAACACAAAAGAACCCTTCTATGTTTTCTCCAATCTAATGTTCACATATCGAGAAGACGGATTCTAACTCTCTTTAAAGAAAGAAAAACTCATTATGTCAAAAATCATGTATTTTGATCACTAGTGCAATTGACGCATCCCACCCTTGCATTTATATACATTTTGGGTCAGCAATGGTAAATAGATTCACAAATTCTCATCTGTATCCCATCTATACTTAAAACTCTTCAATGGAATCTTCTCAAAAATGTCAGAATTCAACTTATTACAGTCCATGTAACTTCTACAATTGTGATAATCACTTTGATGATTTTATAAAATCTCAAGCAAGCTCTTCAAGCTTGACGAGCAAAATTTAAAGATGCATATACTCAGTTGGAATGTTTCCTAATTTTTTCCAGAACTTCTATGAATGTTCATATTTCCTTTCTTTTTTTTTCCAGTTTTCATATGCACTTCTCTAACATATTGCTACAACATCACCAGCATGGCATGTGTGGATTATACCTGTCCGCACCAAAACAACAAGAAACTTGAGTACTAGAAATTGGTAGGCATGATTATACCTTTTTATTGTCACCATCATCTGAGCTCCTCCCTATCTTTGACCTCTGCATTTTCTGTGCATTCCCATCCAACTGATCCCCACCATGTTTCTTGGCCAATATTGTATGAGGCATCCCTCAACTCTATGAGCTGGACAAAAAATACCAAAACTTCCTTAAAAACACAGCTAAATACTATCAGGAAAACATTATGAAAGCATTTAAACAAAAAACAGAAACTTAAATGAAGAAGTGTAATTCGGAAAAAATAAAGCTTGAGAGAGAAGATAACAAGATGGCTCAATAATCAGTGTTAAAAGAAAGGGTTAGGAAAGAGATAACATTAATGATTGATGCAAAAGAAAACGCAGAAAAATGATTATTCCAACTGTTTACTCGACTTGCATATATTTACAATGCTTCCAGGGGCTAGTTAAAACTAAAATCCCAGTCTTGCATATATTTACAACATTTTCAGTCTATCTCGATGGAATCATTCCTAGTTCAAGTATCCTCAAGAATGTGAAGATAGGGATTAGAAATTTTTGGAAAATTTTAAGAGGCAACTCCATTTTCCTGTAAATTAAAAGGAAAGATGATTATTGAAAGAAAGACTAATGTGATCTTGCCGGGGAATTTTATCTTCTTTTTCACCCCTTTTCTTTTCCTTTGGCAAAGATCACTTACAAGTAGTCTTAATACAATAACTCTTGCTTCAAAGAAAATAAAATTAACAAGTCTAAGATCTTAAAAACCTTGATGCCACTAAACCAATTTTCTTTAAACAAAGAAAATAACCACTACTGCATATGCTTGAGAATATAAAGACTATATAATTAAATATGGCAAGAAACAAAAAGAGAGTGCCAGAGATCACCTCAACCGGGCTTAATACACTCTCCACCAAGTTACCACCGTCCAATGGCGCAGGACCTTCAATCTCAACTAGGAAAGCAAGTTTAGGTCAAGCCCTCCAATGGAAAAATGAACTCCTCTTGATCACAAGACTTAGGTACAAGACCCTCAAGATCGCATCTAATAACTACTACAAAACCCTTAAGATAGCATCTACTAACTCCTCTTAATCACAAGACTTAGGTACAAACCCCTCAAGATAGCATCTACTAACTACCACCCAACCCTTAGGTTCATCAAAGCAAGAGAGATATAGAACACCATCTAGGTGGGGCGTGATTCTTAGGTCAAGTCCTCAATTATCTAAAAAATGAATTTAACATTAATCATTACCGAAGTATACACATGTTTTCCTAATTTCCCCAAAAACAATCCAATTTCTTCATTTATACATTCAAAGCATCTAATAGACTATTCACTTCAGCAACCTATTCAGCCATTAACATCAATTACAATAAAGCCCACCATTATCTAATAAATGAATCCAAAACCCATGGTTGCATAGCAAATGATAATAATAATAATAATAATTACTATTATTATTATTATAATCCAATGACGGCCCCTTGAGCACTTCCATTGATTCCTAAGAAAATCCATTTCCAATGAATCAAATTATTGCTCAGATCATATAACGTTCCCAGCAACTTGGTTCTTACCCCCAAGTTCTGAATTCCACTACTAACCTGCTGGAAGAGAAAGCAGTGCCTTCTAACAATAGCAATTTTGATACCACAATAATGCTCCAAGTTGCATTCCTAAGAAGGAATAGCTACTTGAGTAAGGAATAGCTACTTGAGTAAGGAATAATGTGCATTCCTAAGAAGGAACAGCAACTAACAATCAATCCATTGATCTAAATTCTAAAGTTTCATTGATTACTATAGTGTCAATCACATCCGATCAATAATATCAACGTTTAGATACTGTTCTAGGTTTTAGCGAATTTGATTAGAGATCTTGCATGAATAAACGGGAAATGAAAAATAAAAAAAGCTTAAAGGCCTTACCAGAGAAGCAAAGGCGATTGGAAATGGCCAAAATATGGCGATCACAGAGATTCACAGAGCTACCGATGCTACATGAAAAATCAAAGCATCACATAGAGCGCATGAAAAATCAGAGCACAACACAGAAACAAGGGCACATAAGAGAGAGAAACCATAAGTGATCAGAAACCAAAACGAGTGAAAAAGAAACCAAAAACCCAAAAATCCATCATTTACAGATAATTTACCCCCAAAAAGAAAAAATTCATCTAAAAAATCTTCTGCAAGAGAGAGTGCAGGGGTGTGACAGCTCTAGAGAGAGTGTGTGCAGAGGTATGAGAGCCCTAGTGCAGAGCGCAAGGAGAGACCTAGAGAGAGAGTACAGAGAGGTGTGAGAGCCCTAGAGAGAGAGTGCAGGGGTGTGAGAACTAGAGAGAGTGTGCAGAGTTGTGAGAGCCCTAGAGCACAAAGGCAGAGAATGCAGGGGTGTGATAGCTCTAGAGATAGAGAGTACAGAGGTGTGAGAGCCCTAGAGAGAGACGGTCGGGGATTAGAGAGAACATGGGAGAGAGAGGCATGAGAGTACCAGTGCACGAGCAGAGGAGAGCAGCGAGCAGGAAGATGAGGGCGTTTTCGATGGAACTTTTTTTTATGAATAAAGGTTATTTTTCTGGTAAACAACTTCCTGTTACAAGCACGCCCCGAATCCCCTTGATTCTTTAAAACCTCCGATTGAAAAGTTGCATGCGTTTTATATTGAGTGATTTTGTCGTCAGGCCTTTATATTTGTCGTTTCTGTTTTATTAATTTATTTTATCATTTTTGCTGAGCTTTTGGTGTCAAATGATTTATTTGCGACACTTGGTTCCCTGTTGTTTGTGCAAAGATTTACGGTTCCTATACTTCAAATGTTTTTTTTGGTGCGGTTTGCATAGAACGAAGGCTCTAAACCATCCAAGTAAAACACAATGCGGTTTCAATACTAAAAATGTTTGTGATGGGCTTAAAATATATATATTTATTTTTAATTATTAAATTTAAAACTTCAAAAATAGTGAACATCAAGCTTATACACAAAAACTAAAAAACTGACGATAAAAAAATACGTTACAAGATATACGCTATTTTTAAAACTTGAAATCCATTATTTTCTCACGTCAACAAAACAACCTTTTCTAGTGAAATTTTGGAGGTGGGCTCTAATTGATTGTTTAGAGCCTCAGCACTATATAAACTTTTCTTGTGATATGTTATGGGGGACATATTTTAGTCCCACAAATAAGCCTCCCAATATCCATGCTATTTTTAAAGATGAATCTAAACTTTGCTCTCTCTACAGATTTAATATTTGTCACAATCCTTTTACTCCTCGTTGTTACGCATCATCATTGCCAAAATAAACAAAGAATAGGATAAAAGATATATAAATTATAATAAAAAATAATGCAAATACCATAATCCTAAATAAATGATGGGCTACATGACTTGGATGAACGTCCAAGATTCTAGACACTACTAATTTGTTACACATGTCTAAAACTATAGAGACTAAGGCACTTCAACACTTAAAATCCCATCTCTCGAGCCCTCCAATATATATATAATAATTATGGATCGGCTCGGCTCATATCGGCTAATATTAGCTTAGCTTAGTGAAAAGTTTATTTATTTTAGGGAAAATATCTTCTTATGCTCTATTTTTAACTTCCATATTTCATGAGACTCAATAATTAAAAATATTACTATAAGCAAAAGGCCTCCATTTTTTCTATTTTACAACCTCTTGGGCTGTTTGACTATAAATTTTTTATCCAAACAAACACTAAAATGACATCCTATTCAAACTACATCTCTCTCTTCACTTCTGGGTGAGTTTGCCAACCAAAGGGTTTAGCTTGAGTTCGAACATGAGCACACCGTCTTATGTGTGAGAGAGAGATGGAGTTTTAGAGAGAAAAGAGATGAGTTTGATGGAGTTTTGACGGAGAGAGACGATGATGAGAGAGAGAGAAAGAGATGGAGTTTGAGTTTTAGAGAGAGATGATGATGTGAGAGAGATAGTTTTGACAGAGAGACGATGATGTGAGAGAAATGAAGTTTTAAAAAAAAAGATAAAGTTATTTCATAAGTTGTTGTGATCAATAATACATAGTCAATAAAGTTTAGGAGGTTGAAAGATAGAAAAATTTCATAAGTAATATTTTTAATTTTTGAGTATGATGAAATATAGAAGTTAAAAATAAAAGATAATAGGATATTTTTCTTTTATTTTAACTAAATTTAGCGGAGCCCCAAAACCGATACAGACCAGGAAAAACAAAAAAAGAATTGAAAAAATCAAATAAAAAAATGAAAGCAGTTTATAAAAATAATGAACAAATTACAATAGCGAGAGAGTATAAAACCTACGTGCCCTAACGTTCGGCTGAAAGGAGAAAGACGTTCCTTTCTATCGCCACAAATAACCAACAAATTATCATCCTATCTGCACTCTCCCCATTTCTGAAACCCACCCAAATAAATTATTCCTTTCTACTTCGACACCCACTTCCAATAATTAGCAGTCTCTCTCTCTAATTGATCCTAGAATTACTATGGTACCAATGATGCACCAGCTTCAACTCCCAGCTAAGAAATACTTCTATTTAAAACGATTCCTCTCTCGTCATTCACTCTTCACAAACATTCAACAGTAACTCTCTCTTCATACCTGGTCCCTTGATCCCAATGGCTACCCTGATAAAGTAGACCTAAACAAACACAGGCTGACAGGTACTTTCCCTGTACATGGTGCTGGTATAAATATTTAGTTAAAAGCACCGTGGATCTATTTATTTGCTAAAAGCTTTTGCTTGTAACATTAAGGTACGTTTTTTTTTTTTTACTAATTTAAGATTTAATAAATTTATTGAATGGTATTCTGAATTAAAGAAGTTAATTTCCTGTACCAGAATTGGGATCGGCTGAGTTTGGAAGGAAATCAAAGCCATGTATGATTTTTTCAGGTTATAACCTAAACCCTTCCAATTCAAACATGTAAGCCTTATATCTTCTTTAGAACATGAAAACTTTGACCTCATATAATTCTATATGTTTATATGCTTAATCTTGCATTTTTATTGCTTGTGATGGACTTTCATGATTTTTACAGGATTGTACCATTCTCATAATGAAGTCCACGAAGAAAAAATGACCAAAACCTAGCATCAAGTTCCTAATCATTAGTTCAGAATTATTTCTCAGTTGCAATACAACAAAATGAAGAGAACCATATCTTAAGGATCAATTTGTTGTTCCATCTTTAATGTGAAAGTGAAGCTATTGTTTGTTTCTATTTTCTTCTTTTAATTATGGCAAGGGTTTAGGATATGCATTCATACTCTTAAGTAAGTATACCCATCTTGCTGAAAAGAATCATGGCATAGTGGAATAACAAGCAACACCTACTAGCATTGGCAGTCCTCAAATGAAATCTGAATATCTGAGATAGTTTAGTTGATTAATGTGTTTTTTGATTTGCTGTTTGCTTTGCTCATACAAATGAAATTGTTTTCAAAACGCTATTTCACTTCTATAGTAGTTTTCCTTAATTAATTTATCCAAAGTATTCCAGCTGTTCCACTGAGCAAAACATGCCACCTTCCACCTCCCATTCCCCCACCCACCAAAGAAAAAATAAGTAAAAGATAATAAGAAGGGAAATTTAGAACAATTTCACCATTTCTGTTAGGAGGGGAAAAAAAAGAAAACTAGAAGTTTCTTAGGTGTTAGTTCTGGCTATATACTCAAAATTGCGTGGTCTTTTATTACTTGAAACTCTTGAATGTACGCTCTCCCTCTTAGTCAAAATAATAGATTCTTTTCAATAGTTAATATCTTTCATACACCGATATGCCAATGGTATTAGTGGGATATTGCTGTCAGTTGATGGGTCAGCTAGTAATTACATTAATCCGTCTATCTATATGCAGTTATGCAGGAATCATGATGATGATGTAATTAGTGCTTTTTGACCAAATGACCATCAAGTTGCTCATGTGTTTCTCTTTATATTTCCCCTTGGTTAATTGTTCTAACCATGCAAAGAACATTCTCTCTATATAGATTGCCTGGAAAAACATTTTTAAGAGGTCATCACATCTGGCAATTGAATGCTCACAATGCTGACAGCAAATTCTTCTCACGCTCACTTCTTGCCAAGGTTCAATCTCCTCTTTCAAAACTGCAATTTATTTTTGTGATGACATTCTCCTATTCCATGCCACTTGTTTGATGCGCTAACATTGTATTGCCTCCATAAAGTGCTTCAAGTCAGATATTGTTTCCTTAACATTTGCACATGTGCATTTACTACATTGTATGGTTTTGCTCTCTCTCTCTCTCTCTCTCTCTCTCTCCTCCCTCCCTCCCTCCTCCTCTCTCTCTCT